CCCCTTTCTTGGGGGTTTGTGTTTTTTCCTAAAGGTGGCCCCCCCCCCCCCCCCCCCATAACGCCCAATATGTATTTTATTACTGTATCAAATAGCTTCAAATTTGTTAGGGTGATATTGTTATTGTTTATATCAAAGCGATTGCTCGGTGGTAAATTTGGCTTTCATTGCCTTGCTTGTCAGATCTAATTTGATGCTGATACAGGTTCACTCTTTAGAGATTTCAAGATTTTAATAATAATTCCTGAGAAAGAAATTAATTTTGGTACTTTTCTAGTCTGAAATCGAAAATTTGGTTCCTATTGTATTAATAGAAAAGTTTCCATTGACAACAGTAATTTCCTTATTTTTCTTGGCTGCACAGTAAACCTTCTGCTGTTGAACGACAATTTAACAAGTTAATCAGACAAAGGTTACTTTATGTGTATTTGGTGTCAACAATGAAGAAGTTGAATTACATGGGACTGTGACCGTTCATCTAAGGCATTTTGTTCATGCATATTATATTTTGTCTCCTTCGTTCAAATAGTTGGAAAGTTGCCACTTCTCAGATTTAGGTTTTTATTACCAAGAGATTATAGAAAACGAAACAAATCTTGAATCCATATTTTGAAGCCAGAACGGATGCCGAGATTAGGCTAAAGCAATAAAGGTTTCAAGTCGACTTAATAAGGCCCTTTTTCACACAGAATATAAAGTATCATAGTCACGCTAATCCATCAATCCATGATTTTGGTTATACATAATTGGTTTATAATTAATCTTGCCTTCAATCCTGTTTTGATGGTATCTTTTTCAATAGCAATGTGTTAATCAAGCAGTCGCTTTGATATCGGTTACTTTCAGAACCAAACTTAATCTTTGATTAGGACGGCAGTTTAATGGTTTGATTATTACTTTTTTATTTTTCGGAGTTTGATCTGGAATAAGCCAAGAGCTCATTCCCGATAGAACTATCGTTCTACGTTTAACTCCACGGAGACTCTCGCTGAATGCAATCAGATTAAAACGCCTCCTCTTATATCCAATGTACTCGTATAATCACCAGCTTTACTGTTATCTACTGAAAGCCAAATGAAGGGTACGTAAATCTATTAATCTTGAATAGAATGCATTCCTGCTGAGTTGGATCGATCTACACAGAACGATGGTTAAATTGGGAATGAACCCCAAGAGTAATGGACATTTCAAACATTATTTTACTTTCAAAAGTTTTGTATTTTAGATCTCCAAGACTGAGGCGACTGGAAAACGTTCTGTTAATCAACCTTACACTTACCAACATAGGCACCTCTATTGCCTCGGTCATGGTTATTGTGGGGAGTTTTCATGGGCACTGGATATTTGGACACGCAGGTGAAGTTTTTGCCATGTGTGTGTGTGTGTGTGTGTGTGTGTGTGTGTGAGACAGAGAGAGAGAGAGAATGAATGATGCGTGCGTTAATATATATAACAATATATGGGATCACCCTGAATATGCTAATTATCACCAAGCATCTCTGAAAGGCGTGAATTACATATCGATCAAATATTACTGTCGATTCCACTTATTGCAACATTAATAAAGTAGGGACTTGACATTTAATATGGAATATTTTTCTAAATCCCTTTTCTTCAGTTTTCCCTATTTTCTGTCTAATAATTGAAAAAAAGGATTCAGATCGTGTTTTGAAAACATTTTATGATCTATTCAGTGTCACTTTGACATCAGCCCTTTTATCGAATTAAAAACATTATTTGGATCTCCATATATTCTTAATATATTCTGAAAGAGTTTTACGCCTCTCAAAGGAAACTTATATCAGTGTCTAGTCACGGCATGTGCGCCTGGCCTCATCTGGCTACTACTAAGGCTCTGTAGAGGCGAGGCATTCCTACTGACAGGTTTTTCGGAGTTTGATCTTGAATATCATTCTAAGTTTCGATCATAGCTTGTCCAATTTGGTTCAGGTTTGTTGTAGGACAAGTTGATCCGGCTGTTGATCCAGCCAGTAATGATTACCCACAGATTGTCTACAGGCATCAAATCTGGCGATCTTGCGGTACCTGCTCATTCCGTTGATTCTGAAAGTAACCTGCAAATACAAGTGCTCTTTTTTGGACTGACACTTCCATCTGGTAAAATGAAATTGTTTCTGGGTTGCCTTAACAAATAGAAGGCAAGTGGTTTCCAGTAAACCCCTCTGTTTGACATGGGTCGGTTTACCATTGCATACTACCAGCGAAATATGAATACTCCTTTCACCGCACTATGCTCTCGCATAGTTATACTTTGGCCAACCTCGAAGAGTACTACTCAATGAAATAATCACATATTACATTAGTGCTCCAGACAAGGTAGTCGATTAATTGGTACTGACACACCTGACTACACTTTTTTTATTCACGTATCTCATATGAGGTAAAAGTTTAAAAAACAATACTTTTTACAATGTGCTCCTAGGCATCCCTTTCAGACTGTTATATAATCAAATATTCCATACTAAATGTCAAGCCTGTAGTTTTTTACATCATTCCCTCTGCGAAATAAATGGCACCATCATTCAATGTACTAAAAAATCCCCAACCTCTCTTAATTTGATAAATCTTGATTGAGCAAATCTCTAGTTTTCACAAGATGTGACAGTGGTGTCAGGCGGTCGATTGAATAACATCTGTCTCACTAGCAATACATTGTATCAATTTACGCGAACATGTATGACAAAGCCCCAAAGTAATCAAATTGGCCATCTCGTCACATGTTCTAACCTGCAATGAAACGCATTTCTATCGCACGCTTTGTCATCACGCAGTAGACAAATTCTGTTTCTGCATTATATCGAGGATCATCAAAAGATTGATAGGACTTCTACGGGAAGTTCAAATTCAATTTCTGACTGCTTTATTTCAAATATAAATGCGAAATGTGAGATTTTACTACCGTCCACCAGAACCACAGGCTATATGTATATGTGTCTCTGGCTTATTCAGGACAATTTTTCTATCACTTGTGACAATTTTCAGCTGGTCTATGACCCCATTCCCAGAGATTAGATCGATCCAACTAGATCGACCTAACTCCCGGGGGGGGGGGGGGGGGTCACGCTATTAAATAGCTGTCAACCCAGCGGGCACGAAAGTTAATTACCCCTTTACAGCTTCTAGTAGGCAGAACGGACATTTAAGCCGGATTTTCTGACAGAAATCTAGTGAGACTCCCCACGGGGATAGATCGATCTAACATTTATGGGAATTGTTGGAATTTATTGGATTGGCGCGGCGCTATTCGCTAGAACGCACTTCACGCATTTTCCAGAACTGATAATTATCTGTAAAATTGTTGTCATATACCTTTCCCGATACCTTCTGTCAAATATGCACTGCAGGTTGTTTCCATATTGGAAGAAATGACTGACAAATGTGCAAAGTGCACACGTACGGCTTAACCAATGACAGCAGTGTTACATGTAGCAGGTCAGCTGGATAAGTAATGACTGAGCCGGGCCCAATACTCCCACATGCTCGCCCCATATGGGGGGTTATGGAATGCGCGATGCTTTCGAGTTACGGGGCCCTGGATAGGGGCTATATCTGCTTACTGTGTGAACTCTTATTTCCCACAATGCAGTTCGAGGCCTTCGCCGAGGCACAACCGCAGAGTGAATAATATTGGACATGTTTTGAAATTCTAAATATAGTTTTGACGATTCAAGGATTTTGAAAAAGCTCAATATTTTACATAAAGAAACAATGAAGCGAGAGTTAATGTTCTGTAACATTATTATAAGTATATGTTCCTGACACAGCAAAAATTAAATCCACAAAAACTAAATAAATAAATAAATAAAAACTGGAAATCGTCTCTCGGGGAATATTTGACCAGCATTTCACCTTCCCTTACGTAAGGTACAGAGAGTAAGCAGAATTATCTGTGCAAATATCTTTCATCTTTCTTTTCGGAAAGTAATAAACGTCACAGAAGTACAATATTTCTTAAAGTCGTACTATCTGAATTACAAAAGAGGCATTTGGTTGGTTTAGTGGCAATGATTTGGCAATGACCGAATCGCGATCTCTGCATGTTTTACTCCGAATAGAGGTAGGGTACCGCGATTGCTGCGCAAATTCACATTCTTTGTGATCTGCAAACGTCTCATTAACGTGCAATTTGATCTTATGTTTGTGCAAGACGCTGGCTTGGTCCTGCTCGTATGCAAATTTTGACAGGCGACACTGATCAAATGTTACGCCAAGGCAATAGAGCAAGCGCATTGACTTCTGCCATTTATACGACGGTTCGCAACCTGTATTGTTAACAATGAACTGGATGCTGTAACGCAGGCATCATGCAGATATCGAAATCGTAGACTGAAGATGATACGCAGATGACTTCATTGCTAACGCAAAACATCGCTCTCATTACCCATGAATATTCCATGAGGAATGTGCTGCCCTTTAGACAACATTAATCTGTGTGTTTTTAATGAAGCATGTTCTAACATATTGACTTTTAACTTCACTTATGTAACTGAAGATAACGTACACAAGGTCAACCTTTCACTCTCACGATCCCGGCTCCTGTTGTCTATAATTTCACGTAAGCGTGTACTGCATGAATCCAAGGCAACCACAAGGATAAGTTTACAAGATCAAGATGCAGCTCTATTACGCACCCCCTCCCCCCGAGCTGCTCTCTGTGACGCTTTTTATACCAGTTTCTTATCGTACAAGCAGTAAATTCTTCAGTTTCATATTCTGCGCTACATGTCTGAGCGTCACTTTTAAATTGCACAAACCTGTAATTATACAAATATCTATCATGAACAGGTTCCTGCGCTATGTTTCTGAGAGCAACTTTTAATTTTTCATTAGAAAATTATGTATTGCGTTGGGATCTCCTTTGATCTTTGGTCGAACCTGACAGGCCGAAAGCTTTCATAATAAACTAAGCACGATTATAACTTTTCAGTTGAAACTATTTCCAGTGACACGCCCGTGAAACGCCTTATTATATTTTTTTTAGATTTATAAAATTAGACCAAATTTCCCACTCTTTGACATTTGATTATTAAAAAGTGACAACATTTTACCATTCAGTACACGCTGTATATTTTTTATACAAAATCACGAAACTATTCGACTAGAAGTGTAACATACTCATTAAATTCCCAGTTTTCGTATAGGTAGGATTTTAGCATTAGCACACTAATCATGCATATTCTATACCAGAGGGCAGCTGAGTTATGAAGCTAATGCCATACATCAATTATATCGTCTGTCCAAGACACGAAATTGTACAAAATTAGCCAGAGACATCTGTGAATAGCCAGTGACAAATCAACCTGTGTCCCTGGGGGAGGGGAGACAAGAGCATGTGCTTAGGGCACCATGGCTAAGGGGTCACCGAGCAGTCAGTCAACAAAATTACTTAGAGGGGGAGGGGGATGTTTAATAAAGAGTGGAAAAACTATGTATTTGGATGACAGAGTCATTAGAACATTAAATATACGAGTATGTAGCCGGAATTTTTAATGTGTAATGGGGGCACCATAATGTTGAAAGTGCTAACGGCACCAAGAAACTTAAACCTAGTCCTGTGCTGGTGCCTCTGTGTGTGTGTGTGTGTGTGTGTGTGTGCGCGCGCGCGCGCGCGTGCGTGTCGTTCTTCAATTAAGCAATTTATCTATCACTTAGAACTGGATGCATTAAACAAACATAGCAGGTAATATGCAGGTAATATGCATTGGCTTAAACTGGCGGACGTCTTGTATGCGCCGATGCAAATTACGTGTATCCAGCGCCAGAGATCTGCAAAGAGACTAGAATCTCGCCGTTCGCTATCATTTTTAACTTTGGATCATAGCTGAGAGAAGTAAGGGGTGGAAAAATCACCTCGCCAAAAATGTAACAAAGTCAAAGAAAGTGTTGTTCGTTCAACTTTCTCATAAAGCTGCATATTTTACCAACTTTTGGGTGGTTTGAAAATTTAATGATTTAAAAACGTTCCTCACAAGATAATCACATGTTCTTTTTCTCATTTTAGGTTGTTATGCATACGGAATAGGGTTTGGCGCATCTGCCTTAGCATCTTTCAACTCCATGGCTGCGATATCAATACAAATGTATCGGGAAATCACCTGCAGGTTACCACGTGGTCAAACCGGAAGTAAGTTGAGGGGCGTGACGACATATCTGCTTGTCGTCTGGACAAATTCCTTTATTTGGGTAATCGGGCCGGTGTTCGGTTGGGGGCGCTACATACTAGAGAGCACAGGGACTTCTTGTACGTTTGATTTCTTGACGCCGACGTTGAAGGACACCTCCTTCGTCCTCTCATTGGCCTGCTTTGGTTTTTTACTGCCTTTACTGATGATCGTAATCACCAACGTGCGCCTTTTCCGGCACATTCACATGGTGTCCTCAAACCTGAAGAAATTCAAGGTGGACAGGTTCCCGACTAAATCTCAGAAATTGGTACGCATTGCGCAAATGACCCTCAGCACTGTGATAGTCTTTGTCGTTCCTTGGCTCCCATACGTCATCGTGGCTATGATTGGAGTTTTCGGCGACAAAGAGCTTCTGACACCGCTTGTCGCTGGCGTCCCTGTTCTCGCCGCAAAGACGTACCCGATGTTCACCCCGTTGCTATATATCACGTATCACAAAGAACTGCGCTCTGTGTTGATGAGACGTATACGGCGACGGAGGACAGCGCGTTTTCCGCAAAGACGCTCACCGGTGTCTCGGGGTGATAGGATAAACGTGATAGCCATCGATTTGTTACCTGTTACAGAAAGCCGCTTGACTTCGTGTGGACCCGACGAAATAATGTTGAGTGAGTTTTAGACTTCGTAACGAAATTCTAGCAAAGTTTGGGAACTTTTGTGTAAGACGCATGGCAATATGTGACGGTCACAGAATGTTGTCTTGCTACTAAAAAAGGAGTGACATTACCACCACTCTGAAGATTTTGAAAAATGACACTTCACTTCATAAAGGGATGTACATGTAGTAAAATCTTTTGTTTATATATATATATATGTTGAGGGAACTTAAGGCTTGCGTTTGATAGTGCTGACAATGCCACCAGTGTGCTAACCGCTACGCAGTTGCAGCCACAGACCTCGGTGGAGGCGGTGAACTGACACTCAAAGGGGTAACAACTGTTGGGGTAACATTTTGGACAAAAACAGATTTTCCTGAGCTAAACGACAATTTCCCCATACTTAACAATCCGTCCGACATTCAAATGAGGTCCAAGTTTTTTTTTCTGAAAAGTTTTTTTTAATAATCTCTCAAGGGGGTAGCCATTTATGGATGTCACGTACATGTAGTCTGATGGCAAGCAAATATTCTAGAATAATTTTGATAATTGTCATTTTGGTGGTAAATTGGAAGTTATTATATTTCTATGGGTTTTTTACATTGTGTTTATTGCGAAATATTGATCTCATACGAAGAGTTGTTATCCCTTCAAGTAAGTGCCAATATTGCTAGCACGATAGGATTATGTAATATCTAAAGACCGTGTTATACAGAAACATAACGAAAAAAAAAGACTGATATTTTAAGTATGAATAATATAAATGCACACTAATAAATTTATGTGTCTCATAGGCACCCTGATATTGAGGCCTGGTCGTGCTTTCATTTATGTTTCGTTATATGAGTCACTTATTAATTGGGTGAAATGAACTACAGCCTGTTGATACAATTAATACATGTAGAGTGAATGTTGTCTCCCAACACTTGATATTATAATGATTCTTGCAACTCTTTGCGTATTTGTGGTAAGTTTAATACATAAACCAGGTCACTATTTTGCACTTATTTTACCAACTCCTTTAATTTTTTTTTTTTTTT